TGGGGGGAGGGGGGTTGTTACTTTGTGAGGGTGAAAAGGGTAACTATTGCATTGTTCTGTACACCTGAAACTAACAATTAAAAAAAAAAAGAGTTGGGAGAGAGAGGGGATGGAGAAAGTACAGAAAAAGCAGAACTGACTTCCCAGAGTTACAGATTGGTTTAGCAAGTGCTAAAAGTGGAAGAAACACATTTTGAATCATGTTTAGAATTGAACTTTTAACATTAACAACACTACCTTTTAAATACCCAAATAGGACCACTCCACTGTAACTTAGAATGACAGAAATAGTATGGAAATTGGCCAAGGTGTTACTAAGGGCTGTAACTCAGGTGGGCAGGGGGCAAGCTATGGTTTAAAACAAAGACTATTTTATATTTCCATGAGTTGAGCTCCTTAATTAAGTCTTTCTATTATCATTATATTGGCCATACCCAATATGGAGAACCCTGGGCCAGCCAAATGCTGGTGGAGGGAAAAGGATGGGAATGGGGAAAGACACCGAGGATGAACATATGCTTCTCCTACAGTACTCTTTGCTGAGACGTAGCGGTAATCACCAGAACCATGGCTTCCCTTTCCTTCGCTTTGTTGAAATCTTAAATACAGACCCAATGCTAGTGATGCCATTCCAGCAGCTATGGGAGTTTCAGATGAGACATCTCAGGGAGCAGATTGAGGGTGCTAGGGGGCAACAGTCAGGAGGAGACAGAATGATGGTGAGTAGGAGAGACAGTCTGCCCTGGGGAGCTGTCTGATGATCTGGGAAGTGACATTTAGCTTTGGTGAAGCTTCTTACTGGCTTTGGGAATGTTTCCTGACAGTCCTGAGCCAGAGAATGGCCTCAGATGTGGAATGGAGAGGGGAGTGGTGACTTCTCACAAGATGGTTATTGGAGTTAGATAGAGTTTCACCTCCATGCACTCATTCTGGCATTTTGGTTCTTTCTCAGTGGCTTGGCTATAGTATCAGAAAAAGTCAGTTTAGAGAATTTTTATTCTTTAAAGCTTTTTTTCTCCCTCATAATAGAACATATGCTTTTTGCAAAAAATGTGGAAAATACAAAAAGTGTAAAGAAAAACTCACCTCTAATTCTGCTACCTGAGAAAAATCATTAACTATAATATATTTCTTCATGGACATTTTCCCATGTAAATATCTATAATATATCTGCTTTTACATTATTGGGATTATTCTGCTGTACATACAGGTAGTTTTTTCCCTCCACTGTGGTTGAGTATTTAGTTACAACCTCTGTTTTTGGGGGGTATTAATAAAAGCCATATAAGCTTTATAAATGTTGCTTTTGTTTTTTATAATAAAATTTTATTTTTTATTTGAGTTCTTTTTATACAATTTTTAAAAATCATAAACATGTACAAAATTTAAAAACTCACAATATTACAAAATATGTAAAATAAAAAAGAAATCTCTCTCCCTTATCCCTCATTTTCCAAACCCTTTCCCAAGGGGAAAACTTTGAACAAATTCTTGTTATATAGTTTAAATATTGTATTTTCCCTTGAGGTGATACTATGATAACTTCCCCAAATCATTAAATATTTCAGAAAGATTATTTTTCAAAGATTATATGATATTGTATATTACATATGTTTGTAATATATTAATATTCCCCTATGTTTTAGCCACATATGTTGTTTCCAATTATTTGTTATTACAAATACTGCTACAATGGACATCCTTGTAAATTTCTGATTTTGGGGGGAATGACTGGATCAGTTGACAGAATTTTATAACAGTCAGCTTTTTGTAATTGAAGGCACTTTTTTAAATAAAGAAGATTCCCATTTACTCCCTGTTCACTCTCCCACACTTACAGCCTCCTCCACTATCAATATTCACAGCAGAGTGGTACATGTATTATAATCAATGAATCTACATTGACACATCATTATCACCCAAAGACCATAGTTCATGTTAGGGTTCACTCTTAGTGTCGTATATTCTTTAGATTTGGACAAATGTATAATGACCTGTATCCACCATTAGAGTATCATACAGAATAGTTTCACTGCCCTAAAATACTGTGCTCTGCCTATTCATTGCTCCCCCCAACCCTTGGCACCCACTGAATCTTTTTACTCTTTCTGCGGTTTTGCCTTTTCTAGAATGTCATAGAACTGGAGTCATAAAATATGTAGGCTTTTCAGATTGGTTTCTTTCATTTAATTATATGCATCTAAGGCTCCTTCATGTCTTTTCATGGCTTGATAGTTCATTTCTTGTTAGTGTTAAATAGTATTCCATTGTATGTACTACAGTTTATCCATTCAACTACTGAAAGGCATCTTGGTTGCTTCCAAATTTTGGCAATTATAAGTAGAGCTGCTATAAACATCCATGTGCAAGTTTTTAATGTGGATATAAGTTTTCAACTCACGTGGGTAAATACTAAGGAGTACAATTGCTGGATATTAGGGTAAGTGTATGTTTAGTTTTGTAAGAGACTGCCAAACTGTCTTCCAAAGTGGCTGTATCATTTTGCATTTCCAACAGCAATGAATAAGACTTCCTGTTGCTCCACATTCTTGCAGCATTTCACGATGTTGGTATTCTCGATTTTGACCATTCTGATAGGTGTGTAGTGGTATCTCATTATTGTTTTAATTTTTGGTTCCCTAATAACATATAATGTGGACTACCTTTTCATATGCTTATTTTCCATTTTATATCTTTTTTTGTGAGGTGTCTTCTGAAATCTTTTGCCCATTTTTTATAGGGTTGTTCATTTTTTTATTGTTGAAGAAGTTACTTTTAAAGATTCATCAATGAGAACTCTTAATACCACACAACTTGAAATGCCCAATTCTTGAAATTTCATCATAGAAGATTAATGTTAGCAATTTGCAAAGCACTGACTATTTGAATACAAGGGCCTCAAATGATTAATGATTGCAGCATTTTGAGACTATTGGCAAGACTACTGGATTAGCTTGCCTATATGGAATTTGCAGAGTAAGAAAAGAAGATCAAGAATCAAAAGCTAGAGAAACAGCATCTCAGGGATGAGTCCATGAGGAACCCGAATGCCTTAGGAGAAATTGCCAGAAGGGTAGGAGAAGAACCTGGAGGATATGGGACAACGTCTACTTGAGAAAGTTTGAAGAAAGAGCAAGAGTCAGCATTACCAGATGCTTGAAAAAGAGTAAGGGTGAATGACAATGCTTCCTTTGAATTTAATGAAGTCACCTCAGCAACTGCTTAGTCAAACCTTCTTTTCCTCCTGCATCCTCTATCTGTGTTGATGGTGCCCTTGTCTATCCAACAAGAAACACAAAGAGAAGGACACAAAGTCTAGGGTCCTTCCGCACCCTTTATTCAATATAGGAGGGTGTTATGGAACACCTTTAGGAAATCCCTACATGGGGTTGGCTGTGGTTTTCCTCTGTTTGGTCCAGGTTCATTCTTTGCCTTTCTCTGCCTGGCTTTGTCTCAGGAGGCTGACACCTGTGGATTGAGTAGCCCAGGCTCCCCTGCTGGCTAGCTTAATATTGGGTTCAAAGAGCCAATAAGAGGAGGAGACTGAAGGGAGGGAGGGAGAGGTCAGGGTGTTCATTCCCTGCTCCTTTCTGCTTCAACACTAGGTTCTGGCATTGGCTGATCCCTCCACCAGGGCAGCTCCTGCCATGTGGCCCCTCCTCCAACAGCTCCAGCTCCCCCTGGATTTGGGTAAGGCCACTCCTCCTCCAGCCATCTCAGGCCGAGTGGCAAAGGCTTCTTGCTATTTTCCAGGTGCTTCATCATCCTTTGTTCCCTTACTTAGCTTGGCCCACAAGTCTTCATTTCCTTCAGTAAAGTATTTTCAGTTGAACTATCTGAAACAGTATTGGACAGATGGAGGTAGATGGAAGAGATAATTGCTGATTCTTCCCAGGTTCAAGCACAGGCCACATGCAATTATCTCTTCCATCTACCCCCATTGCTAAGTAAATTTGTCAAATTTATCAAGTGAATTTTATCAAGTTCTGGGCTTGGAGACTATTCAGACAGGTAAGAAAAAAATCCACCTTAAGTTGAAGGCTGTGCAGACAATATCTGACCAATACTTGGTGTTAAATAATTATGGAATAAAGGGAGAGTGAAGCTCTGTGATGAATCCCTGTCTCTTGATAGCCTTCAATTTTCAACTCATTTTGATCAAAAGAATCACCAATATGCTCTTGCTCAGAAAAAGGAGGCATTCCCACGGATGGCAGGTCCTACAACAGAAACGCTTAGCTAACAGTCAGTAACCATTACAAAGGGGAGTTGGAAGACATGAGTGGCATCTATCCATGGAATGAGACTGTGGATAGTTTAGGAGGCATGCAACCCAGTGTACAAGTGAAGGGTTTAGTCTCATTTCCACTTCCCAACAACGTGATGAGACCAAGAAGAGTCAACAAGACACATTTTATTAGCCACTGTCTATGTTCAAACTCTCTGTCTCCTGCCCCCACCACTTCTCATGTACTTAGGGCACTGTATGACCATGGAATGGTCTACGTGATTCTCATGGTGGGAGAACAAGAGGGTTACCCATTTGGGCTGGTCCTGGGCATTCGGCAGAGTGATATTCTCCCTTGGGGAAAGGCAGGACCACCAGCTTCTCCTTCATAGGCCCCAGGAAGAGGAAGGGGACATCCAGGGTTTCTCCCTGGGGATTCGTGGTTAGATCCAGCTGTACAGGGAAGGCCTCAACAGGGACTTGTCCCGTGGAATCTTCAGGCTGTTCATCATCCAAGTCAGGGAGGTATTGGACAGATCCTTTTGTCAGAGCTTTGGAGGGGGAGTCAGTGGGGGTTGGGTTTTCCTGCTGTAGCTCTCCCACCTTGGGGAGTCTTGCAGGTTCCTGGTTAACAGCAGAGTTTTCAACTCCAAGGGTGGGAGCCTGAAATAAGAACACATTCAATAAAGGAATGTCCCCCAGGGAAATCCCTGCCATGACTGGTACCACACTAAGCTGTTCTGTGCCTTATAATAGGATGTTTCAGAGAGACAAGCTAGAAGGAAGGGCCTCTGGTTAAAGGGTTATAAAACACTATAGAGAAGGGCCAGGGAGCACCAAGACTGGTAGGAACTTTACTGCAAGTCTCACAAATTCAAAACTGAACAATGGCTCAGAGAGATTAAATGGCTTATTCAAAGTCCCCAGTGAGCTGTCTCCCTGCTCCTCATAGTGGCAGTAGCAGCTACCTTTTATCGATTGTTTCTTCAAGCCCAATACAACTCCCTTTATCCAGGTCTTTTCCCTTATTTCTCACAGGGATCTAAAGGAGGTAGGCATTGCACTCCCATTCATAGAAGAGGCAACCACAACTCAGACCAACTTGCCTATGGTCACACAGCTTGCAAGTATCAGAGCAGGACTGGAACGCAAGTGGCCTATCTCAACCACACTCTCAGCTATACCAGTCTGCTCAATAAATACTTCTGGAAAGGAACTGGATATTTTCATGGAAATGACTTCTCCCTATGGTTCAGTGTAAGGGTCTTTGGAAGACTTAATTTAATCTCAGAGGCCTGAGACACCCAAACTAGTAGGTCCCTGTTTCTGCAGGGGTATTACTGGGTCATCAGGAAAGTCATGATGTATTTTTCTATGTTTTTCAATGCAAAAATGCATCATGACTTTCCTGAGGACCCAAAATTTATTCTGCAGGACCACACTGGGACTAAAACAAAGAGTCACAGGACTTAACCACTATCCTGTGGGTGTGACCTCAGGGCAGCCTGAGTAAAGTGCTGATCATAGATCTTAGAAAATTAAAAGGAGAGAGTCAGGAAGGGACAGCTAAAATGTAGATAGTCTGCTCTTTTCTTCACAGGAAAACAATTAGATTGAAAAATACCTCTGATTCAAAGAAGTTACAAGTCACGGAGACAAACTTTTCTGTTCCTCTTCTACCCAGAGAGCCTTTACAAATACCAACAGGCTAAAAAAAAAGAGAGAAAATACATGTTATTTGAGTATTACAATTATCAGTGATCATAAATGGAAATCAACTTGCTTTCTGCTTGTGTAAACACACAGCCAATCAACAGTTTTAATCTACTACCCATGCGTAGGCCGGCTCTGAGCCAATTCTCTCTAGATTATCTCTATAAGCAATCATCTAAACAAGGCTAAACTGCCTCCAATGATGGGAAATTCAGGACTTCTTGAGGAACAAACTCTTTAGAAAATTCTTTATATTGAACAGAAATCTGTGTCTATAGAATGTCTATTTCTTGGCCTTACTTTTACCTTTAGGTTGGATTAGGAAACTTGCTTTCATCTCTCTTATAGCAGCAGCCCTTGAGGTATGTTCCATGTGAGTTGACTCTTCTCAGATGAAACCACTCAGCTCCTTCAACTTCTCTTTATTTAAAAATAAAATAACTGGGCCGGCCGAGTGGCTCAGTTGGTGAAGAGCTCGCTCAAAAGTTTGAGCTCTAAACAACAACAGTTCAAGTCCCAGCCCAAGCTGAGCAGCTGCTGAGCTGCCAACAGGTGACAGGATGGCTCAGCTAAAAAAATAAATAAAAATAAAATAACTTTGTTTTCTTATTACAAATGTGATAGTTATTTAGAATATGGACAAACAGAAAGAAAATAAAAAGACCTGTAATTCCATGAATGATACCTGTTTCCTGAAATAATTGTATTTCTTTTGTCCTAATCTTTTTTCCTGCCTATATGTTTTTCTTCTAGAAAAATAGGGTCATACTATTTTTATTTTATAAGTCTCTTTTGTCACTTAACAATACATTTTGAAAATCATTTTATGGCATTGAATGGTCTTCTACAATTTTTATAATGGCTACCTAATATTTCTCTGTGTTATTTAACAAGTTCTGTTTTGTTAGACACTAGATTAAATCTCATTTGTTTTGTTTAAACATTGTAGCGATATATTTTCATATATTAAAGAAGAGAAATTTTAGAGTCATGGAGTATGCACATTTTCAAGTACAACTAGAATTTTATAATAAAATGATGCCTTGATTTCAAAAGAATTTTAAGAATACAGTATTCACATAGAATTTACTAAAATATATGTAAAGAGATTGCCTGAATATAACTCTATCACCCATCTCCAGGCTATATGAAGAGAATATTAGAAAATCCTTAAAGTGTGAAAAATCCATTAATGTAGGGAGTCTTTGGGGAATGGTACTTCAGCCTTTCCCTCATCCTCTACATCACCAAATCATATAGGAAAAGGGCTCTAAGAGAACCTTCTGGAGAGACTGCAGGTACCTGTACCAAGTAGAACCAGGCCACTCTCACTCTGGCTAAAATTTGCTGAGCTACCATAATTCACAGGCCTTCATGGTGCTAAAACTAGACTGGGCCACAAAGAGAGAGTTTGAGGGCATGCTTCACGTGTGAACCCTAAAGATTAGGGACATATGAACTATGAAGATTGAGATCTGCTTCTCAGAGCATTCTAAGAACCGGATCTTGGAAAAAGCATCCTACTATGAGAAGGTAAGGAGAAAAGGCAGCAAAGGAAAGCCCATTTCAACTGTTTGGCGTAGTAAAAATGTGTGAGTTCCATGGGACAAGAAAGTGTCATAAGCAGTATTCTTTTGAAGGTACCCAACCAAGGGACTACCAGATATGGGGCATTTAATAGTAAACATCTGTAGGGCTGAATCTGAGAAGGGGTGGTTCCAAGGAGTCAGCTAGGGAATACACCATCTTACTAGGAAAAGACCTCTGGATGAACTCACACCTGTGTCACAGAAGACAACCAGCACTGGGGCCTGTCTCACAGAGGGCCAGTGTAGACCAAGAGAAAATTACAACTGCAAGTTCAGTTTTGTAAAAAGACTTTGTACTCTTTTCTCTAATTTTCTCATCCTTCTTGGAACTTGGAAGATCCAGAATTAAGCAAAAGATGGCAGGAGGGAGAGAAAGAATGAAAGAACAGACATCTCACATTAGGTCTTAAGCTCTAGGTCAGGCTTGGGAAAAGCTTTTGTATTGAATATGAGATAGAAGTTTTGACTCAGAATTGACTGAACAGATTTTTTTCTCATACCTGAAAGTGAATCTTAATTACCTAAGTGAAATTATTCCTCTTAATGAAAATAATGAGAAAGCTATGGGATCTGCCCAAGATGTAATCGTCAAGTGAGAAAGAGAGATTCCACAGAACAGGGTGAAGATGTTTTCCCAATTATTCCTTGAGAAAATTGAGACTTCAATTGACTAGTTACAAAAGGCTTTTGAGAGATACACTTTATATTCAAAGACATACATAGGTTGAAAGTAAAAAGATGGAAAAAATATACAAGGTAAACAGCAACCAAAGAGAGCTGGAATGGCTATACAAATATTAGACAAAATTGACTTTAAGACAAAAATTGTTACTAGAGATAAGGAAAACCATTTTATAATGATAAAAGTGTCAATTTATTTTATATATATATATCTCCTAACAACAGAGTCCAAAGTATATAAGCAAAAACTGACAGAATTCAAGGGAGACGTAAACAATTCAACAATAATAGTTGGAAATCGCACTTCAATAATGGATGTAACAATAAGGCAGAAGAGTAACAAAGAAAGAGAAGCATTGAACAACACTATAAACCATCTAAACCTGACAATTACTGAATGCTTCACTGAACAACAGCAGAATACACATTCTTCTCAGGTGTACATGAAACATTCTCCAGTATATACCTTATGTTAAAGCATAAAACAAGCTTCAGTAAATTTAACAATTGAGGTAATTTAAAGAACATTCTCCAACCACAATAAAATGATTTTAGATATGAGGAACAGACGAAAATTAGGGAATTTCACAAATATGTAGAAATTAAATAACATACTCCTAAATAACCAATTGGTCAAAAAAGATATCACAAGGAAAATTGGAAAATACTTTGAGATGAATGGAAACAGAAACACAATATACACAACTTGTGCAATGCAGCTAAAGCATTGCTTAGGAGGAAATGTGTTGATATAAATGCTTATGTTAAAAGAAAAAAGATTACAAATCAATAACCTAAATTTCACCTTAGGAAACTAGAAACAGAAGAGCAAACTAAGCCCAAACCAAGCAAAAGGAAGGCAAAAATAAAGAGTAGAAAGGAAATAAATAAACTAGATGATAAACAAAGAAAATGAAGAAAACTGAAAGTTGATTCCTTGAAAAATCAATAAAATTGATAAAGCTTTAGCTAGACTAACCAAGAAAAACATGACTCAATTTACTAAAATTGGAATTAAAGAGTGACCATCACTTCCAATCTTTCAGAAATGAAAAGGGAATACTATGAATAACTGTATGCCAGCAAATTAGATAACTTAGATGAAATGGATAGAGTCCTAGGAAGAAACAAATTACCAAAACTTATTCAAGAAAAAGTAGAAAATATGAATAGATCTATAACAAGAGATTGAATTATTAATCAAAAAAACTTCCCACAAAGAAAAGTCAAGGCCCAGATGACTTTATTGGTGAAGTCTACCAAACATTTAAAGAAGATAAACACCAACTCCCTCACAAACTCTTCCAAAATAAAATAGAAGAGAAAGGGAAATTTCCCAAATCATTGTATGAAGTCAATATTAAATTCATATGAAAATCAGGCAGAGATAATACAAGAAAACTATGGATCAATATCTCTTTGAATATAAATGAAAAATCTTGTAAAAATACTGGCAAACAGAATTCAGCAACATATAAAAAGTATTATAAACCATGATCAATTGGGATTTATCTCTAAAGTGCAAGATTATTTTAACATATAAAATCAATCAATGTTATATATAATACTAATAGGTTAAAGGAGAAAAAAAATCACATGATTATCTCATTAACACAGAAAAAGCATTTGGCTAAATCCAACACTGTTGCTTGATAAAAACACTTAACGAACTAACAATAAAAGGGAACTTTCTCAACTTGATAAAGGGCATCTATGAAAAACTTACAGTTAACATCATAGTAAATTATGAAATACTAAATGCTTTCCCCCTAAAATCAGGAATAAGATAAAGATATCTGCTCTCCCCAACTCTATTCAACATTGTACTGGAAGTTCTAGCCAAAGAAATTCAGCAAGAAAAAAAAAATTAAAGGAATGCAGACTGGAAAGGAAGAAGTACAATTATCTCTATTTGCAGATGGTATGATGTTGTATATAGGAAATCCTAAAGAATCTACTGGAAAACTATTAGAAATAATGAGTGAGTTCAGAAGTTTTCAGGATATGTGGTCAACATGAAAAAAAATCAATTGTATTTCTATATATTTGCAATGAACAACCCAAAAATAAAATTAAGAGGACAAATACATTATATTAGCATCAAAAAGAATAAAGTATTTAGGTATATAAATAAGTGAAAGTCTTGTACACTGAAAACTACAAAACATTGTTGAAAAATTTAAATAAGTTCTAAACAAATGAAAGACATCCCAATTCATGGATTGGAAAACTGAATATTGTTAAGATGACAATTGCTCTACAGAATCAATGCAATCCCTATCAAATTTCCAACTGCCTTTCTAAAATAGAAACTGATAAGCTGATTCTAAAATTATTATGAAAATGCAAGGGATCCAGAATACCCAAAACAACATTGAATAAGAACAAAATAGAAAGACTTGCACTCCCCAGTTTCAAAGTTTACTAAAATGCTACAGTATTCAAGATAGTGTGGTACTGGTTTAAGGAATGAAACATAGTTCAATGGAATAAAACTTAGAGTACAGAAATAAACCCTGCATTTATGATCAATTGATCTTCAAAAAGTATGCCAAGACAATTAAATGGGGAAAGAATAGTCTTTTCAACAAATAATGCTGGGACACCTAGATATCCACACACAAAAGAAAGAAGGTGAACCTCCGACCTCACATCATGTACAAAAATTAAGTCAAAATGGGTCCTAGACCTAAACATAAGAGCTAAAACTATAAACCTGTTAGAGGCAGTATGTGTAAATCTTAGTGATCTTGGATTAGGCAGTGATTTTTTAGGTATAACGCCAAAAGCACATTCAACAAAAGAAAAAACATGCAAATAAAACTACATCAAAATTAAAAACTTTGTGCTTTAAAGAACATCTTCAAGAATATGAATAGAAAACACAGAGAATGGAAGAAAATCAAATATATGATAAAAGGATTGTATCCAGAATATGTAAAGAACTTTTACAATTCAACAATAAAGAGATAAACTATCCAATTTTAAAATGGGCTAAGGATTTGAATAGACATTTCTTCAAAGAATATATTCAAATGGCCAATAAGGACATTACAAGATGGTCAACATCATTAGCCATGAGGAAAGTGCAAATAATAAGCAAAATTAAATACCACTTTATACCCAGTAAGATGGCTATAATAAAAAAA